CAAAAAAAAAAAAAAAAAGAGAAAGCCAAGTTCATTCCCAGGCCTTCACGCAGTTTCTCCGTCTCTGCCTGGTGAACTCCTACTCATCCTGCAAGACCCCAGCTGCATGCCCCATTTCTCCATATAGTTTTCCTCAGGCAGGTCCTAGGTCCCTCTCTCTGACTCCAGCCCCATCCTTTCTGGCTGCCAGGGTCAGAGTCTGGCTCCGCCTCCCCCAACAGTCTGGGAGATCTGGGTCCTGGGCTGAGACCCCAGTATCGCTGCTCGAGGGTCAGGGAGGGGATTTTTGATGCAGAAATTGCCACCTGGCAGTTACAACACAGAGCAAAAGATTCTGGCAGCAGTAACGCAGTGTCACACCTCCCCCGCCCCCCGAAATGAGTAGGGCTCAGACCCCTCCCACAGGCTTCCTCTCTCAGCTTGGGCCCAAAGGGGTTAAGTGGGGGGACCTTGGCAGTGGGGAGGGACTCGGCTGCTCCCCCACATCAGTTCCTGGCTGCTGGCTTTCACTGCCTCCTCCTCCTCCTCCTCCGCTGCCAAGGACAGCCGGGGGACCTGGCAGGCCTGGTCTGCAACCCGGCGGCTTGGCAACTCGGCCACCTCCTCGGCCAGCTGCCAGGCTAGTGAGGCAGGCTCAGCCCAGCAGGGGCCGACTGAGTGGAGAACAGGCCCTGAGCCCTCACGATTCCCAGGGGAGGTGGCCCAGGCTTAGGTGGCAGCTGGCCGTGGCGGGGTGTGGGAGGCCCTGTCCCCGCCCCCAGCCCTGGACCTGGGGGTGGAGTGACTTTACCATCACATAGTGACGCTGCATCTCCGACTTCTCGCTGGCCAACTTGTCACATTCCAGCTTCAGGCTGAGGAGGGACAGGGGGAGACCGGGTGGTTGGTGACGGATGGGCGGGACCCCCCACCTTGTTATTCAGGGGAGGAAACTGAGGCTCCAAGGTGCCAGGGCCCCTGTAAGGGCACGATCAGCCAATTCTCAGAGGGTCAAGCAAAAATTATTAATTTTTTAATTGAGACGGGGGTCTCCCTATGTTGCCCAGACTGGTCTCAAAAACTCATGGGCTCAAGCAATCCTCCTGCCTCGGCCTCCCAAAGTGCTTGGGATTACAGATGGGAGCCACCCGCCGTGCCTGGCCGGGCTGAGGGGGCGGGGGCCAGGAGCTTTGATGGGGCTGAGGGTATTGAATTGAGGGGAAGGGAAGTGGGTAATAGTTGAACTCTCTGTGATTCGGAGGCGAGGGGACAGCGCCAGGGCCGCTGATCGTAAGATAGGGGTGATGAAACCCCCCTCGCAGATCTGGTGGAGGAAAAAGGACGGACATTGTAGAAACACCAGAAGTCAGAGGTCGCACGGCAACGTGGGCTCAGAGACTTTCACAAGCCTTTACCTCTCACGATCCGGATAAGGCCCGCAGTGTCATTGTCACACTCCTTTTATAGATGACACAGTGGACACCCAGAGAGGGTGAGCAATTGGCTCAAGGTCACACAGCCAAGCAGCAGCCCAAGCTTTCAACTACAGGGGAAAATTTTCCAGACCCAAATAGAAATCTTAAAGAGGCTGGGAGGCTCTGGGGCTGCAAGGCAGCTCCTGGCTGGCCTTCCCAAGGGGACCCTAGCTTCGTGGGGGGCCTGGGTTTCCCAGAGAGACCCCTCAGCTCGACCCTAGCCTCCCAAAGTGATGGGATTACGGGCGGGAGCCACTGCTCCTGGCTGCCTTTTTTATTTAACTGTGACAAAACACACCACTTCTCCAACTCCACCTGGACCATCCAGGTGGCTGATGCCACACACAGCTTCATTCTTACAGGCCCTCACGGGAAGGATGAGGGCGTTTCTCAAAGCCCCCATGAGGGTGTTGTTGCCAGAGGGAGAAGAGCAGGTTCGAGGGCCTCCCAGACCAGGAAAAGAACTGGTGATGGCAGTGGGGGAGGTGGACAAGCCCCTGTCCTTTAACCCATTTAAATCCAATCCAGCACAGCGGCCCTGCGGACCTGGCTCTGGCTTACCTGCTCCTACCATCCCCAGCCGCTCCTGGCCTGGGTTCAAGGCTTGGCCCTGTATATTCCCCGCTGTGTGACTCTAGGCAAACTCCGCTACCTCTCTGGGCTTCATTTCCTCCTCTGTGAGGTGCCACCCACCTCACAGGATGGAGTGGGGAAGACTCAATGAATGGAGACATGAAAAGTTCTAGAACAGTACCTGGTATACAGCAAGCACCCCATAAATGCACGTGGATTTTTTTTTTTAAAGCCAGTCAAATTTATCAGGGGAGCTTGTATACCAACTTTAGTGACACTAATGTTAATAAGTTCTGATAACCCAGTAGCATCGGACCAGCCAATGCCCATGGATCTTATGACCCCCCAGGAACCTGGCGTTTTGCTCTACGGGAGAAGAGTGTGCCAAGGTGGGGATGCTTTGGCCTCCACCAACTTTCCTCTAGAGTTCTTTTAAAAGCGCATTTGTTGCTACCATTAAAAAAATAATCGGCCGGGCGCGGTGGCTCACGCCTGTAATCCCAGCACTTTGGGAGGCTGAGGTGGGTGGATCACGAGGTCAAGAGATCGAGACCATCCTGGTCAACATGGTGAAACCCCGTCTCTACTAAAAATACAAAAAAAATTAGCTGGGCATGGTGGCGCGTGCCTGTAATCCCAGCTACTCAGGAGGTTGAGGCAGGAGAATTGCCTGAACCCAGGAGGCGGAGGTTGTGGTGAGCCGAGATCGCGCCATTGCACTCTAGCCTGGGTAACAAAAACGAAACTCCGTCTCAAAAAAAAAAAAAAAAAAAATCAGGGCTGGGCAAAGTGGCCCATACCCGTAATCCCAAAACTTTGGGAGGCCAAGTGGGTGGATCACCTGAGGTCGGGAGTTCAAGACCAGCCTGGCCAACATGGTGAAAGCCCGTCTCTACTAAAAATACAAAAATTAGGGGTGTGGTGGCGCACCCTTGTAATCTCAGCTACTTGGGAGGCTGAGACAGGAAATCACTTGAACCCGGGAGGCGGAGGTTGGAGTGAGCTGAGATTGTGCCTCTGCACCCCAGCCTGGGCGACAGAGTGAGACTTGATCCGGCCACCCAGGGGCTGTTATGCCTTGAACATCCAGTGTGTGCCTGATATGGCAGGAACCCGCGCTGGATAGCAGAAAGCCCAGGCCCAGCAGATGGAGACTGCAAAGTTCAGAGAGGGCGTCCGGCTTACTGGAGGTCACACAGCACTGCGAAGGCCATCTGATCTCTTCCCTGTGGAATCAGGTCAGCCCCAGGGCTCACCAGGCAGTCTCCAATCCTACACATCCAGGGACCCAAACAAGTTTCTTGGGCCTTCCTGGAAAGCTGGCTCCAGCGCCTTTGACTGTCAGGGTCTCAGTGTACCCATCTTGTGAATGGGCGCGACAGCCGGACCGCAGGAGGAAGCACATACAGTCTTTGGCACGCAGGGAGTACCCCAAAAGATTGGATACTTTCAACAGCCACCAGAAAATCGAGATTTCCCTTTCTACTTGGAGGAAATCCAGGATCCCTCCAGGAACACTTCTGGGGTGGGCAAACTTCAGTCAGGAGAGGGCCCTGAGGCTGAAACATGGGTCTGCGCTTAGCCTGACTTCCTCCAGATTCCCAGGTCTGGTGCACCCCTCCAGAGCAGGGCAGGTGGGAATCTACATCCTTTAACCAGGAGAGAAACCTGGGGCAAATCTCAGCCTTGCCACTTCCTCAATGCTATAGATAGCCCTGAGGAAATGCCTAACCTCTCTAGGCTTAAATTTCTTTCTTTCTTTTTTTTTTTGAGACAGTCTCACTATGTCGCCCAGGCTGGAGTGCAGTGGCGTGATCTCGGCTCACGGCAACCTCCGCCTCCCGGGTTCAATAGATTCTTCTGCCTCAGCCTCCTGAGTAACTGGGATTACAGGTGTGTGCCACCACGCCCGGCTGATTTTGTATTTTTAGTAGAGATAGGGTTTCACCATGTTGGTCAGGCTGGTCCCGAACTGCTGATCTCAGGTGATCCACCCGCCTGGGCCTCCCAAAGTGCTGGGATTATATGCATGAGCCACCCTGCCAGGCCTGGGCTTAAGTTTCTTTAAGAAGACTAAATAGTTCCTTCCCCTTAGACCACGCTACATGGCAAACTCTTCAGAAAGGGCAGATTTCCGAAAGGAGAAGCACCTTGGAGAATCTGACGGACGCTGGGAACCCTTTCTTCAAAACTGGGCAAGGACAGAGATGACCAGGTTACAAAATGTGTGTTTTGGGGTTGGGGGGATGGCGAGTCTAGGCTCTAACCAGGTTCGTGGAAGATCTTTTATCCAATGGGGGGCTTGGGGGACACTGGGGAGGAGGGAGGGACTCTGAGGTCACACAGCTGGGTCTTTGGGCAAATTATTTAACTTTTTTTGTGCCTTGGTTTCCTCCTCTACAAACTGAGGCTGTTTTAAAGAAAGGAATTCAGTATTTGTCAAGTAATTAGGTCTGAGTCTAGCACATATTATTTTCCCGATCTGGGGGCCTCGGCCTTGCCATCCGTGCAGAAGAAGGGGGGCTCACCTTCTCGGGGCGCAGGGACCCGCGGCCCCCACCCCCTCACCTGTGATACTGAGCTTGCAGTAGCTGAAATTCGTCTTTGATGCGGTCGCAGGAGTCCGAGGTGGTGAATTTGAGTTGCTGGGGTAGGTGCGAGGAGCCCTGTGGGGAGGGGGCGCCCGGGTCAGGCCCAGGCCCCCCTCGAGGGCGGGCCAGGAGGGAGCGGCCGCGCAGCTGCGGAGCCCCCCCTCCTGCCCCACTTCCTGGGCCCGTGTTTACCGCCCCTGGCAAGGCCCCCACCCGCGCTTCCTGGCCCCGCCTCTCCCCGGGGGAAGCTGAGGGGGTGGGTGCGCCCGGAGCCGCCCCGTCCCCCGCCATCCCCAGGCAGTGGGGGTGCGTTTTAAGGCCCGCCCCAGATGGGGGGCAGGGTGCGCCCTCTACCGCCCCTCCAAAGCGCCGGGAGTGGGTGCATCCGAGGGGGGTGGAAACGCGCCCTAGGGAGCCCCCTCCCCAAGTTGAGGGGCAGCGAGTCCCCCCTGCAAAGTCCCCTTGGGGGAGGGGTTCTCTCTCTCGGCGCCCAAAATCTTCCGGGGGGGAGCCCACCCCAGAATCCCAGCGCCCTTCCTCGGCGACGCGCTCTCTTCCGGGAGGGGTGCGCCTCGGATTGTCCCCCCACCACAGGCCCCCAAAGGAGCCCCTCGCTGGAGGTGCCTGGCGGGGCTCCCGGAGATCCCCAGGCCCGAGGCCAAGGCCGTCCGAGGCCCTGCCTGTCCCGGCGAGCGGGGGGGGGGCGCCAAGCCGGGAGCTGGGGGGGGGGTTCGGGGCCCGGAAGCTGGGGGAGAATCGGGAACTGAGGGGGTGTCCGGGGGTCGGCGGCAGGAGGGGGTCGCGCGGGGCTCGGAGCCCGAGAGGGAAGACAGGGCCCGGGAGTTGGGGGGGCGCCGGCCTGGGGGTGGGGGGCGCGGGGAGGGGGCGCGGGGAGGGGGCGCCGGGCGGGCGGGCCCCGCTTACCGAATGCCTGCTTTGTGGAAACATCATGTCAGTCGCGGCGGGGGGCGCGGGCTGCGCCCCGGCTGTGCGCCCCGGCTCGGGCTGCTCGGGGCGCCGGGCGGCCGCGCCTTTGTCCCGGCGCCGATCGGCAGCTCCCGGGGCCGCCGCCGCCGCCTCCCGCGCCCGGCCTCGCCCGCTTCCTGCGCCCCCTCCCCGCGCGCCCGGCCCCGGCGCGCCCCGGGCCCCGCTTCCTGCGCGCCCGGCGCCCCTCCCCGCCCCTCCCCGCCGCCCGCCTCCCCGCTCCCCGGCCCCACCGCTATTGTCTAATGGCGGCGACGCCGGCAGTGGCCGCGGCTCGGCTGCTGCGGAGGCTCCGGCTCCACCTGCCGCCGCCGCCGCCCGTGCCCCGTGCGCGCCGCCGAGGGGGGGGACGCGCGCGCCCGGGGAGGCCTGCGGATCCCCACCCCGGCCCGCCTCCCCGGGGCCCGCCCGCCGCGGTGACCTTGGGCCCGGCGCGCCCCCGCCCCGGGCCGCGGCCCCCGCCACCCGCCCCAGCCTGGCGGCCGGCCTGGCCTCGGTTTCCCCATCTGTCAAAGAAAGGGACCCGGCTGCCCACGTCGAAGCCGCCGGCCAAGCCGTGGCACGACCTGGACGCGTGCCAGGGACGTACTCTGTGACCTTGGCTCTGGCCGGGCGGTGGCTCTCGCCGGGCCTCAGTTTCCTCTTCTGCAGAAAGGCAGCGGTCATGCCGCCTTCGTCAGGGAAGCCATTCTTTGGACACATTTATGGAGGGCCTGTGTGCCAGGCCCGGCTGCTCCAGGGCCCTGGGGTGGGGGGTCCCTGCCCTGGTCAGGTGCCTGGAGACAGACAGAGACAAATTCACGAGCTGAATTCCCGGCAGGTCAGATGATTGGGGACCCTCTGCGGAAAAACCAGCTGGGAGAATGGCGGGGTAGGAAGGTGAAGGTTGAACAGAGGGCAGGGAGGATCAGAGAGGGCTTCCTCCACCCCTAAATGGACCCCAAGAAGGAGAGAGAACAGGGGGATGGGGGGCAGTGCTAGTGAGAGGCAGGACAAGCAGGTGCAAAGGCCCTGGGGCAGGGCTGTGCCTGCCACGAGGGTCCCCGGGAGGAGGTCAGGAAGGCCGGCGGGAGGCAGGTCCTGGGCCTGGGGCTTCATGCCTTTGCCCAGGCCCCCTGCCCCTGGCAGGGCTTCTGCTTGGGTTAATCTTTACTGCTGCATTTTGAAATTCCTAATCATTTTTGAACAAGGAGCCTTTCAGTTTTCTTTTGCACTGGGCCCTGCCAACTCTGTAGCTGGTGAGGCAGGCCAGTCCCAAAAGGGCTTGTGGGCCCCAGGGAGAACAGGGCTTTTGCTCTGAGTGAGGTGGGAGCCCTGGAGGGCTGTGGGAGGAGGAGGGACAGGACCTGGTGGGTTTTTTGTTTTTGAGATGGAGTCTTGCTCTGTCGCCCAGGCTGGAGTGCAATGGCGTGATCTCGGCTCACTGCAGCCTCTGCCTCCTGGGTTCAAGTGATTCTCCTGCCGCAGCCTCCTGAGTAGCTGGGACTACAGGCACCCACCACCACGCCTGGCTAATTTTTATATTTTTAGTAGAGATGGGGTTTCACATGTTGGCCACGGTGGTCTCGAACTCCTGACGTCAGGTGATCCTCCCGCCTCCTCCTCCCAGAGAGCTGGGATTACAGGTGCTTTTGCTCTGAGTGAGGTGGGAATCCTGGAGGGCCGTGGGAAGAGGACGTACCAGACCTGGTGGCGGTTATAAAAGGATCCCTCTCTCCGCCAAGCGGAGAACAGGTCCCAAAGAGGGTGCTGAAATAAGGCTGTGATTTCAAGGTCCTCCTTCGGCAGGTGCTAAGTACAGTCTCTTCATCGTCATCATCCACTAGGCAGCCTGCCGCCTCGGATGAATGGTTAGGCCTCGACTGTTTCCATCTGTAAAATGGATCAGGAACCCGAGACTCCTTACCTTGGCAGGCAAAGGTGAGAGGCCTCAGTGATCAACATTAATAATCTTTTGTTGTTCCTTCTCCACTCCCACTGCTTCACTTGACTAGCCTTAAACAAAGTAATAATAATAGTAATCTTTTTTTTTTTTTTTTGAGACAAAGTCTCGCTCTATCGCCCAGGCTGGAGTGCAGTGGTGAGATCTTGGCTTACTGCAACCTCTGCCTCCCCGGTTCAAGGGAGTCTCCTGACTCAGCCTCATGAGCAGCTGGGGCTTCAGGTGGCCACCACACGCTCAGCTAATTTTTGTATTGTTAGTAGAGATGGGATTTTGCCATGTTGGCCAGGCTGGTCTCGAACTCCTGACATTGTGATCTGCCTGCCTCGGCTTCCCAAAGTGCTGGGATTACAGGCATGAGCCACTGCACCCGGCAAAGTGATGTTTTAATATTTTTATTAAAAATATTTTGATTTGTTCATTTAGATATTTTAATGAATTTTACTTTGCACCCATGTTTTAAACCTTTTATTCAAAGCAACTTTTTTTAAGAGACTGTCTTCTTCTGTTGCCCGGGCTGTAGTGCAGTGGTGCAATTATAGTTCTCTGCAGCCTCCCACTCCTGGGCTTAAGTGATCCTCCCACCTCAGCCTCCTAAGTAACTGGGACTGCAGGAGCGCACCACCATGCCCAGCTAGTATTAAAATATTTTGTGGAGCTGGGGTCTAGGGTCGGGCGCAGCAGGTCACACCTGTAATCCCAGCCCTTGGGGAGGCTGAGGCAGGAGGATTGGTGGAGCTCAGGAGTCCCAGACCAGCCTAGCCAACGTGTCGAAACCCCATCTCAACTAAAAATACAAAAGTTGGGGGGCGGTGGGAGCCAAAAAACAAAACAAAAGTTACCCGTATGAGGTGGCGGGCGCCTGTAATCCCAGATACTCGTGAGGCTGAGGCAGGAATTGCTGGAACCTGGGAGGCGGAGGTTGCCGTGAGCCAAGGTCACGCCACCTACTCCAGCCCGGGTGATAGAGCAGGATTCTGTCTCAAAAAAGAGGAAGGAACAAAGATTAGGATTTTGGACTTTTTCTTCTTTTTGAGACGGAGTCTCACTCTGTTGCCAGGCTGGAGTGCAGTGGCATGATCTCGGCTCACTGCAACCTCTGCCTCCTGGGTTCAAGCGGTACCCCTGCCACAGCCTCCCGAGTAGCTGGCACTACAGGCACGCGCCACCGCACCCAGCTAATTTTTGTATTTTTAGTAGAAACAGCCTTTCACCCTGTTGGCTGGATGGTCTCGATCTCCGATCTGCCCTTCTTAGTCTCCCAGAGTGCTGGGATTACAGGCGTGAGCCGCTGCACCCGGCCGTGGATTTTTAAGATGAATATTGCTTGTTAGAGTCAGGCCTTCAGCCAACCACAATCCCTTCTTTCTGGTGCCGACAAAAAGATGACCCCCCACCGCCGTGGGGACCACACGCTCTCTCTCCTGGGAGGCCACCTGCCAGGGTGTATTTAGGCAGGCGCCTTCCAGTACCAGTGTGCCGGGGACCAAACCCTCCCATTTTCGAAGCCCCCCCCCCCCCCCTTTCGGGGGAAGCGGAGCTGGACACAGATACCTTCAGGGGGACCCAGGCCTGTGAAGGACAGAGTCATTGTGAAATAATCATTTTTCCAAAATATGATTTTTTTGTTTTGTTTTTGTTTATGTTTTCCCGCCTAGAGGGAAGCCCAGAATTGTGGGCCACACTATAAATAATCGGCCAGCCGACACAGGCCTGTATGTTTTTTCTACGCACGAGGGGCCTTACGCACTTTAACTTTTAGGGACTGTGGTCATGCCCGTTTTTAGACATGAGGAAACCGGCCGGCGAGGTGGCTCACACCTGTAATGCCAGCACTTTGGGAGGCTGAGGCAGGTGGATCACTTGAGGTCAGGGGTTCAAGACCAGCCTGGCCAACATGGCGAAATCCCGTCTCTACTAAAAATACGAAAATGAGCCAGATGTGGTAGCGGGTGCCTGTAGTCCCAGCTACTCCGGAGGCTGAGGCAGGAGAATCGCTTGAACCTGGAAGGCGGAGGTTGTGGAGAGCTGAGATTGCGCCACTGCACT